AGAGAGTGCTGTCCTACTAAATTTTCACTGTGGCCAATGAGCAGGTGGGTACACAAATTACTTGGTGGCGTATTGTGTTTTCCTTTAGATACACAGTTCTGAAACAGGGATGTGATGTCATACACGTTCCCCCAGAGAGTCAGACATTGTCTATATAGCTGTGACTTTGGTCATCATAACACGGCACATTTTTTAGTTCTGAAACAATGCAGTTCAGTCTGTTTGTTGTTGTATCTTTGGGCTTAGCTGGGCTAACAGACACTGAAGCCATGCGCACATGCAGACTCAGAGAAGTATTTGACTTGTATGGGCTGTATAAAGAAGGGGATATCATTTTGGGTGGGATATTTGAAAGCCACTTTAAAACCGTGTATCCTGAACTGTCTTTTACTGCTAAGCCTGAGCAATTGAGCTGTGAGCGGTGAGTGAATACAGTATATTGTACTGCTTCTTAATGACAAGTCAGGGAGAAAGTACAACTGAATGAAATAATGCATTGCCTAGGCTTTTCATGACACAGATACATTATATTATCTTCTTTTGAGAGAATTTAGCTAATATAAGTCATGGTATTATCATGCTATTAGTGATAGTCATGCTATTTTAAACATAAACCTAACAACAGTTCCAATACATATGGAGCAATTAATCTGATAGATCACATAACTATAATATTTCATTCGGCATTATTGTTTCTAAGTGTTTTTTATTTAAAGGCCACATTTATGTTTTTTATTTTCAAAGTAAAATCTTAATTATACGAAGATCTTGTAGATATTTTAAGACCATGAAAGCAGAACATGTGCATAGTTTTATTTCAGTAATTGTGTCTGTTACCAGATTTGATATTGCAGGATTTCAGTATGCACAGACCATGGCTTTTGCCATTGAGGAAATAAACAGAGACCCTGCTCTTCTCCCCAACATCACACTGGGATACAGGCTGTATAGCAATTGTCAGAATTTAGAGATGGCTCATCGGGCAGCAACAGCTCTGATCAGCGGAGAGGATGAGTCTGTCACTGACTACAGCTGTACAGGGACACCCCCTGTCTTAGCCATTGTTGGAGATCCTGCATCAACACATTCTATCGCCATATCAAGAACACTGGGCCTCTTCCGGATTCCAATGGTACGGTAAAGCAAAGATCAGGATAGTAGTTCTGGTTACCCTATGAAATATTACTCAGTACTAATACAGTATGTTCTTACTTACGTGCTAATTTGCATATGTATGTGTATACTATGAAATAGTTTCATTTCAGTTCACTGTTCTTATTATACTTGTTCATACCATAACTGTAACATTTTATTTGTTTTAATTTTTTATTTGTACTGCTACAGTATATCCTTCATGTACTTTAGTTAGTACAGGATGATGCTGAAATCACAATAGATCTGTCTGTATGTCACAATTCACGAACTGTGTATCTGAAATTGATTTCAACTCTTCTTAAACAATACTTTTGTTCCTTCATTTGCAGGTCAGTTATTATGCCACCTGCTCATGTCTAAGCAACAGAAAGGAGTTCCCCTCTTTCTTCAGGACTATTCCCAGTGATACGTTCCAGGTCAAAGCCATGGTTCAGATATTCAGGCATTATGGGTGGACTTGGATTGGTGTAATTGTGAGCAATGATGACTATGGGCTGTATGCTTTGAAGCTCTTTACAGAGGAGGTTAATAGATTTGGCTGCATCGCTTTCACAGAAATACTTCCTCTCATTAACAACAAGGCTGAGATTCTTAAGATCGTGAAAACCATCAGAGAGTCAACGGCCAAAGTTATTGCTGTATTTCCAACAGGAGCCTATATGATTCCTTTGGCTGAAGAAATTGTTCAGCAAAAAATCAGAGGCAGGCAGTGGATTGCTAGTGAAGCCTGGACTGCCTCTCCTGTCTTCCACACTAAGGAGTTACTGCCCTATTTAGGTGGGACTATAGGAATTGCGATACGCAGAGGAGAAGTCCCAGGGCTGGAAAAATATCTCCTTCAGATTCGCCCTGTGTTTGACCCCAGGAACAATTTAATCAAACTGTTATGGGAAACAATGTTTGATTGCAAATTCCAAGA